CGCAGATTAGTAACGTTTAGTAACATTTGTCAAGTATCAATGACGTGTAGGTCGGATGAATGCGACCTGGCCGTCCAGACACAGGTCGCATTTGAAAAGATCAGATACGTATCGGATTCAGGACCACATATCCAAGTGGCCTGGGTCGCATTTGAAAAAATCCGATCTGTGTCGTTCAAACTGTCATAAAAAGATCCGATACAGGTCACATATGGGCAAAAAAATCGGAATTGGGTCACTTCAGGCTGCAGTGTGAACGTAGCCTTAGTCATTAACCTGTGTTTCCTCTTGCCCTGCCTCGGACGCCCTAGCCACTGTTGCTGCAGATCCGCAAGCTATTTGTCGTTGCTTTAATAAACACTTTTTAAGTTATCCTACTGTCTGTCTTGCCTGAATACTGAGTCCGTCTGTTCAGAGTCATTACATAAACATTTATCTTATTTTTTTTGTCATACTGTAGGAAAAACAATTATTTTTTTTTTTGTTATTTCAGCTCTAACATCATGGTTGCTGCTGTAACATCTACAAATAAATAGAGATATTCCGATACCATTTTCTACCTCCTGATACAATTCCGATGCCTGTGCTGTGAGTTTAGGCCGATACAGATTACAGATACCAGTATGTTACAATTTATATGAATAAATATATAATCATACTATGCTTACATCCTGACTGTGATATGACTATTATTGTGGTAAGGTTACACCCTTAAAATTAAATGGAAACATGAACAAATACAGCCAATTTAAGCATTTTTTAAAATAGAGCAGCATAAAAAAACACTACTAGTCGTAGCAAGGCCAGTCTCCGACAGGTGTCAGGTGATTAGCTCTCCTTCTCAGCAGGTGGCAGCACAGCATTGTTTTAAGAGCATCGAAGAAGAACTGATGGAACTAAACCAGCAAATAGATTCCTGTTTTAGATCACATGGAATAAGATCAGTGCCTGGATTCCAATACTGGCCGTTACCTATGCCATCATTTTCTGCAGTATCAGAGACATTCCCGGTATTGGAATCAGAACAACTCTAAAAATAAGTGTCAATAAAATGGAAAGCCAGCTTGTATCAGTTCTGTTTTTACTTGAATAGAGATACAGAGGTGTAAATCGATCGGTCCTTTGCAGCAAAGTGGCAAAAAAGGTGTGTTGCAAGAAACTGTTGGTGATGGACTAAATACATAGAAAGTCTCTTGTCTTTGTAGAAAGCTAATGTCACCATGTTGGTGGCACCATCAAGCAATGGGAATGTGTTGGAATAGAAAAGTCAGGTTGACTGAGTTGATAGGAAGATAGATGGGGTGTTATCCCAAACAACAGCAAAATCTTCAATGGGATATTTCCAATCAAAGCATATTTATATGTTGAAATGGCCTAGTCAAAGCCCAGAGGTAAATCAAACACAGGATGCTTTCTGATGCTTTGCATTAAATCAAACTAAGTTGGAGCTGATTTGGAATGAAAATTGTGCAACACTATTGTATAGATGTGCAAAACTGGTAGATCTCATCAAAAATTTAGAAATGTAATTTTAGAAAATTAAAACCAAAGAAAATGGAAAACTGTGAATCATTTACCTTCATCCTAGAACTTTTCATTGCACTGAAATTTGTTTTTGTAATGTTTCCAAATCTAAAAGTTAAACTCGGAATGGATACATTTATAAGGCACTCAAAAATTAAATTAAACATTTTAGGGCAACAAGATTTGAGAGTTTTAATTTGTTAATATTCTATAAGGCTTTGTAATAAAACTAATTTTTAAAGATCAAGGTCAACTATCAACATTTTGATCCCGTTCTTTACCGTTTAGCTGCCTGTAAACCACATCCTCCAGCGAGCTGAGCCTCTTCAGCAGCACCTCGTGGCTCACGCTGGGCCCCTGCGCTGTCCCGTTGGCCCGGGGCCTCTTTCCGTCAGCCGGAGCCTCCGGACCAGCCGCCTGGACGCTGCGGGTGTTGCACTTGGCCCAGAAGGTCATGAACCCTGCGACCGCCAGAACGTTGAGAAGCAATAAGACCCTCCATCTTCTGAAGACAAAAGCCATGAAAAGAGTTGGGTTCCCGGTGCTTTTTTTTTTTTTTTTTGTAATTTTGGGGCTGGGGTGTGGGGATGAGGGGGCGGTCAGGTGCTTTCAGGTGTTGCAATGTCCTGGAAGCTGCAGTGATATCTCACCGGGTCACATCAGCAGACCCAAACCATGAAATCCTGCAGAGGTGCTTGTGCTGAAAGAGTCACTGCACCTGTTTTCAGACATAAAGCGGATTCTTCTCCATCTGACTGGGGGGTTATTTTAGGTTGCATCCCTCTTTGGAAGACATTTGGAGCGCTTTGCCATCTGCTGCCATCCGCCACCTCTCTGTGTTAAAATCATCCGCTGAAGATGGAAAGACAAAGACAGCAGAGAGCAGATACCTGCTAAATAATTTAAGAGAAAGAATAAATTTCTTTTTTTTTTTTTTCTTGCGACAGTGTTGCGTTAGAAGCGCACTTAGAGATCCTCACAGATTGTTCAGGGAAATCCTCCTGAAGGTCCAGCCAACGTTTCCTCCTTATTCTGCAGCTTTCTGCTCTCACGCCGTCCTCCTCTTCCTCCTCTTCCTCTTCCAGCCGTTAATCCCAATTAGAGGCGATGAGAAGATGCGATGCTGAGGATCTATCTGCGCTCGGAGAGATGCAGCAGCATCAGCATCATCCTCCTCTCAGATGTTCACTCCGGAAATCCGATGTTACACAAATGAACAGCGACCTTCTTTCTGCACATCCTTTCCAGGTCTTCTCGTGTATTTCTTGCCCTCTTCTGGTTTATTCCCCTCCCTGCCTCCTCCTTCTATCGCTGGACTCGATCCGGGGACGTTTCCCTTGGCAGCAGGTCAGGGGTGGGGGAGGATGGGAGGGGTGTCTGTTCTCTGTCAGATCACACTGCGAGGAAATACTGCTCTCACTTCAAGTGGAGGTGACTGGGAGACTGGCTTTCATTTGTCAAAACTCAGATTTCTCACATCATCACAGATGTCATTATCAGAGCAGATGCAAAAAGCAATTAGTGAGGAATTTATTACAGGGGGAAATAGATTTAAACCTGGAAAATTGTTTGTCTCATTTCAATAGGGGCAGTTATTTAATTAGATGTGGAGGTACTTAAATATATCAATTTAATTACTTTAATCTCTTTCTTTATCATTTATATTTCTATTTGTGGGGGTGTATTTATTTCTCTAACATGCCTGTTTAATTTTGACCCCTCCTCTTTAAAGAGTTTCCTAAAAAAGAAA